ATTATTTACTCACCCTCTTGTCGTTCCAAACCCACTTTCTGTTATTTTTTTTATGTGTATTTTCATTTTTAGATGAACTATTCCTTTAATCTGCTCCTTTAATCCATTAACAGATGGAGAAACTTGAGGCTGATTCTCTCAGAGGATCATTTATTGCTCAAAGATTGCTCTTTTAATGGATATGTTGACATTGTGTAAGATGTTTTATGTACATCTTAAGTTCTTTTCATTGCAGACTTTTCTGAAAATCTAGATTAATGTTTCTCAAATGATTTTGTTTCAGGTGGTGACCTGTTTTTTTTTTTTTTTTTACCCACCAAAACCTCGAGACACAGCTAAATTTACTGGGGTCCAGAGGAAAATCTGAGAAGCTGGCGATTTATAACAAAGGTAGATTTGTTTCAAATGAATATACTTGCGGTCTAGAATAAACAGTTTTGATATTAAAGATTTGTGATTTTTCTTTCCTGCATGTTTCACAGTCTATATACACCTACATTTAAAAGTTAAGTCAGTTAAAAAAAATTTAATGTTTTTGAAAGAAGTCTTTAATGCTCACCATGCTTGGTTGCCTTAATTTGATTAAAACATTTGTTACTATTATTAATGTTGGAAACAGTTGTGTTTTCAGTATTTTTTTTTATTGAATAGAAAGTTCAAAAGAACAGCATTTATTTAAAATAGAAACCTTTTATAACATCATAAATGTATTTACAGTGACTTTTGATCAGTTTAATGCATCCTTGATGAATAAAAGTATTTCTTTAAAAAAATAAAAATAAAAAAACTTTTGAAGAATAGTGTGTGCTGAATGTTTTGCCACAGTTAGAGAGGCAATGACCGAGAGAATCTCTGACACTAGCACAGCTAGACAGAACTTAAAGAAGACAACACTCTCTTATGACTGATCAGAGACTGTAAAGCCCAGCCGGACCGCTGTGATCCGCTCCGCTTCTCTCCACATGATGGATTCCTGCTTGTCCAGATTGTACAGCTTCTTAATTCTTGGCCTCAGTGGTGGAACAAATTCCAGCTCATACATCAGCCACTTTCAAAAGAAACCTCAAGACTCCCTATAACTAGACCTCAAACGAATATATACAAACCTGCACTGCAACAATCTGTATTTGTTGTATTATGTACAGTTCAGTAGGCTCTTGTGTTGGTAGGAAAGCATATATAGAGACTATTCTAGTCACATTTACTCACAGTGAACTGTGCAAACTATGTGACCCTGGACCACAAAACCAGTCATAAGGGTCAATTTTTTAAAATAGAGATGTATACATCATCTGAAAGCTGAATAAATGAGCTTTCCAAGTTTGTTAGGATAGGACAATATTTGTCCGAGATACAACTATTTGAAAATCTGGAATCTGAGGGTGCAAAAAAATCTAAATACTGAGAAAATCGCCTTTAAAGCTGTCCAAATGAAGTTCTTAGCAATGCATATTACTTATCAAAAATTAAGTTTTAATATATTTACAGTAGGAAATTTACAAAATATCTTCATGGAACATGATCTTTACTTAATATCCTAATGATTTTTTGCATAAAAGAAAAATCAATAATTTTGACCCATACAATGTATTTTTGGCTATTGCTACAAATATATCCCAGCGACTTAAGACTGGTTTTGTGCTCCAGGGTCACATATGTACACGTTAACTGTACTGTTCACAGGTCTGAATGACTGTGTGTAATGGTGAGTGATCTTCAGTGATGAATAATGGTGAGTGATAGTTCATTGACTTGGATGAGAGTGAATTATGTGGTGGTTACTTTTGGCAAGTGATGGTTTAATGATGGTAAAATGGTTAATGATGGTGAGTAATAGTGAATAATGTTTATTGCTAGTTATAGATGGTTCAGTGATGGTGAATGATGGTAAATTAGGGATGCATGAAATTGGATTTTGCCGGTATCCGATATGCCGATATTTTTCAACTCTTTTTGGCCGTTACCCGATACCGATATATTTCCTTTTGTTTGGAAACAACACCAAGTCTCTCCTGTGTGGAAATTATAAGCAAATTATTTAAAGGAATTAAAACTCCTGGAGGCTGCGCTGCACGTGCTATTACTGTTTAATCTATCACGCACCGAACTAGTCATTCTGTACCTGCATTCTCAGATTAAATTCAGCGATCCAAAAACAGTGAATCTAATCATCATTCAGGCAAAACTTTGCTTAAAGAATGAGCCACACTGCTGACATGATCTAATCGCTAGCACACCCTGAGCACATGTGAGTTAAAGAATTCCTCTTATCGGCAAGACATATCGGCATAATTTTTCATATTGGGCCGATGCCGATATACATCTAAAGCCATTATCGGCCGATTCCGATATCATCCCGATAATATCATGCATCCCTATATAGTGTACATGGTTTATTAATATGAGTGATTTTCAGTGTTGGAGAGTGATGTTAGTAATGGTAAAAAATTAATGATAGTAGGACTGATCACTAGTTACTGGACTGCAAAAGTGTGGTCAAAGAAAGGCATTGAATGCATTATGCAGATTGGTGAAAAAAAAATCGTGCTCTGTTGGTGAATGATGGTATATAATAGTGAGTGATGGTTTATTTATGTTAATGATGTTAGGTGTTGGAGAGCAATATTAGTGATGATGAATAATGGTAAGATTGTTTACTTGTTAAAGGATTATAAACCACTATTAGAGTCTCATAAAACAAACAAACAAAAAAAAAAGACAAAAAATGCTTTGTTGAAGTGTTAACTGTTTGTGAATGATGGATCAGTGATGGTGAATAATGGTTTATTTATATAAATGATGTTCAGTGTTGGACAGCTGTATTAGGTGTAATAAATAATGCAGGATTGTTCACTAGTAAATGGATTATAAACCACGATTATAAACTCACAAAACAAAGTAAGATCAGAAAATGGACCGCTGTGACCCTATTGTCCCATATCGCTTTTAAATTGTGACTACAAGATACTAGCTAAAATATTATCTATTCGGCTTGAAAAAACTTTGCATAGAATAATCTCACCTGATCAAACTGGTTTTGTTCGAGACAGGCATTCTTTTTTTAATATTAGGCATCTCTTTAATGGTGTGTATTCACCTCACTCCAACAATCCCGAAGTTGTGGTCTCTCTGGATGCTGAAAAAGCATTTGACCGCATCGAGTGGGACTATCTCATAAACGTTTTGGAGAGGTTTGGATTTGGTTTAAAATTCATCTCTTGGATAAAGCTCCTTTATGCCACTCCCAAAGCATCTGTACGCTCAAATAATATTATTTCAGATCCTTTCCACTGAATCGGGGCACAAGGCAGGGGTTGCCCCCCTTCCCCACTTTTATTTGCTATTGCTATTGAACCCCTTGGCAATTGCACTACTGATTCTGAGGTGCAGGGGATTTTTCGTGCTGGCATAGAACAGAAGGTTTCGTTAAATGCTGACAATCTTATTTTATTTATGTCTAACCCTATGGTCTCAATTCCTCGAGTACTTTTAATACTGGAATCATTTAGCACTTTGTCCTTAAACATTTTTCAGAGTTCCCCTCTGCTCCTCCTAGTGGTGTTTTGGAAGGTGTTTTATATCAGCATACATGTATTAGGGGTGCCATATCAAAGATTTATAGTATAATAAATGACAAACAAACCCCATCTAGTAGGTCATTAAAATCTCATTGGAAGGAGGATTTAGGTATTATGTTAGAAAATGAAACTTGGGATGCTGTCTTAAAAAGGATACACTCTTCTTCGGTTAGCTCTAGACATAGGCTTATTAAATTTAAGGTGGTGCATCGTATTCATTGGTCTAGGGTACAACTTAACAGAATGTTTCCAGATTTGGACCCCACCTGCTCGCGCTGTGTTGGGGAGCCAGCCTCTCTGTTTCATTCTTTTTGGGCCTGCCCTAAGTTATTAAGGTTTTGGGGGAGAATTTTTAAGTGTTTCTCAAACATTTTTTACTACGGCAGTAGACCCCAACCCTTTGACAGCACTATTTGGGGTTCTTCCGGAGAATGCGAAACTGACAGCTTTAGAGATGGATAACATTGCATTCTGCACACTGTTGGCTAGACGGCTTATACTAATTAATTGGAAGTTGCCATCTCCTCCAACTTACCGTCAATGGGTTTTTGACCTACCTTTTGCCCTCAAACTTGAAAAGATTACATTTGAAATAAACTTTTTATTAAATCTTGGAGCCCACTGGAATACTTTGAAAAAGCAGATTCTAGATTAAAATGTGTTTTGTGTTTCTTTTTTGTATGCTTATTATTGTGACTATATGTTTATAGGTAGATGGGCATTTATCATTCTTGCTTATTTGTGTGTTTTCTTTCCCCACTTTCTTAATTCTATAACAGATTGATACTTGTATTGTGCCTTGGGATGCTTACGTGCTTTTCTTGAATAAAAAAAAATGCATTGAATGCATAATGCCAACTGGTGTAAAATTGTGACGTTCACTGTTGATGAATGATGATAGATAATGGTGAGTGATGGTTTATTTATGCAATTGATGTTCAGTGTTGGAGAGCAATATTAGTGATGAATAATGGTAGGATTGTTCACTTATTAATAGATTATAAACCACAGTTAGAAACTCACAAAATAAAGAAAGACAAGAAAATGCACTGAATGCATACTACAAATTGGTGAAATTTTTTGAATAGTGTTAATTTTTGGTGCAATGAGGCTAAATAATGGTGAGTGATGGTTTATTTATGCAAGTGAATCTTCAGTGTTGGAGAGCCTTATTAGTGAAGAATAATGGTAGGATTGATCACTAGTTAATGGATTATAAACCCCAATTAGAATCTTACAAATCAAAGCAATAAAAAAAAAAAATGCATTGAATGCATAGTGCCAGTTGGTGAAATATTCAGTCTTAAGCGTCGAGGGTTCAATGATTGCGTGTGATGGCTTAATAATGTGAATGCTGTGCTGTGATGTTGGTGTCTCTCAGTGCAGGTGGTTGTCAGCAGCAGTGAGGGAATCACCGCTCTTCACTCTCACGCGCCTCCAGTGCTCCACAGACCTTCATTACTCCAGTCTGTCGATGTGAGACGCGGGTGACAAAGTTGAAATCGCAGGTGCACGAATCGAACCGTCCATTTGCAGACGTTACAACGAAAAAGAGGAATTATATCGCGAGTTTTTCTGTGATGGTGAGTTTGCGCTTCTCTTTCTTCGCGTTTCTTCAGTCATTGATCGCAGTGTAACGCTACAGCGATACATTGAATGCAGGCGACCTCCGTTCACAATAATACACGGTAGTGCACGGCGTGTTATTCGCTTCACGCGTGTTTCTATGGACGGATTAATTATTAATATGAGAAGAGTGAATATTTAGAGACCGCAGAGATTATTGGGCTTGCTTTGTTGGATATACGTTCAGGTCAGGAATTTAACGATTATGTGTGGGTTATAATGTACCGATTCATCCACATTATCACTTTAAAAGGATGCATTTTAATGCATCCAAAGCATGTTTGTCGCAAATCCTTGTTGAGCATGAGCTGTTTTTCATGCAAACTGTAAATGGATGAATCTCATGAATCTCTTCCAGCATATGTCACATTTCACCTCAAAACTGAAAGAAAATAATACGAAAATATATTGGCATAAATATTTTCATCACAATTAATCACATTTCCACTGACTGTAATGCAGAAAATAATTCTATATGATTTAAACAGTACTATTATTAATTATTAATATGTATCAAGGCTGTTGTTTGTTGTACTAAAGTCTACTGATTTTAATAAAAAATAAACTGATGATTTCATTACTCTGTTACAGAAATGAGAATCTAATGAGAGCCATCTTTAAGAATAATGAGAATTAGAGCCAAACCTCAAAAGTTAAACATCGTGAGACTTAACAATAAAAACTAGGGAGAAAATGGGTTGAACTGTACTGACAAAGATGCAAAATATAGGCTATATAAAGCCAGTAACATTTTGCATTTTTGTTCTTTTAGGGTGAAATATAATCCAGTTCACTGATATTACACCCCATGAAGCAAACTCGTGCATCTTGAGCCAGAAAAACGCCTCACACCATCATCAGTAAATCAATCCAGATTTCTGCAGTGAATATGAAGGCATGCAGTGAGTCACAGCACACGTTAATGCTGCCTTCACATTCATGCAAAACAAACCCCTGTATATTCCCATTCAAATTACTGCCTCAAAATGAATCAGATTTTTTTTTAAAGTGCATAAAAGTGCATGTATTCCATTTTATTCCACACTTTTGACCTTGTAATGTTTTGACATTGTGAACCATATTAAGTCATTATAATTCATTAGGTGCTGAAAATGTGATGCTTTTCTCTTTGTGTTACAGTGTTGCTTTTTCTGTTGTGGAAAAGATGCATCACCGTTAATGGAATTAATGTTGCAATACAGTAGATCACAATAGCATTAGCGGTATAAAAATACACAAGAACATGCAATGTTAATTGACCGTTATTATTATTACCAGATGCTGTTGTGCCTTCAAGAGCACAGAGCCCATTCAGAAACATAGCCGCTTCAGCCCTGTGCTTTGCATTATGATGGTTATCAGAGCCACAGTGTGTGTTTTGCATCCATAAAAAAACCTTCTGTTTGATTGACACTCAACTGTCTTTCTCTCCTTGAAGTGCCTGTTTGTTTGCATCCCACAAGGGTTGCAAAAATAGCACGGAGAAGAGAGAGAATGTGCAAGAAGAAACATTTAGATGCACATTTTCTACTGAAATGGGCATTTCTAGACTTGAGAGCTGCAAAGCATTCACATACCAAATCATCACACGTTCATTTGGAGGAAAACAGTGTAATATCTGATTCCTTTCGGCACTGAATCGTCTTGTTTTTCTGATCATGCAAGTTAGGAGTTCTGCAGTTGCATGTAATTGAATCACTGCTCGTTTTTGTCTATGTGTGTGTTTTATTCCTTATGATTCATTCCTTCCTTTTTTTGGGAGCTAATAAAGATGAGTAAGACAGCGGGGGCTCGGAGACCGTTCGCTATCCTCGCACAGGTTTATACTACCTTAGACTCGCTGTAGATCAGTAAATCTACCCGACACACATTTCCCATAAACCCCTGCCCACTCGCACTGGCCCTGCACACTTCAGCGATCAGAGATTTGATTATTTTGGATGGGGGGGGTATATAATAAAGAATGTAAGGGTGATTCGGTGTTGTTGTGGGTTCAGACGGAGCATCAGCCACTGTGCTGCAGTATATTATGATGTGGCCAGTACTAAAGCAGCTCTGTATCTCTCTCTGTGTGTGTGTGTGTGTGTGTGTGTTTTAAAACAATGTTCCTTCTCTTTTAGGTTTTATGAGGTTGTGTGTGAGATCTCTGGGAACAATCGTGAGCAGAATGCATAGACACGCAACTAGAGAGACCTTCCTCGTCCTCTTTCTCATCATCAGCCTGGTAAGAGCAGAGACGGGCTTGTATTTGTGTGCTTTGGGCCTGTATTCACATGGATTTAGATGATTATATTTCACACATGTGACCATTATTGAAGTTTGATAAGGCAAGAATCACTATTACAGTTGCTTGTTTAAAGTTCAAACCCCTAACCCTCATTATTAAACATTGGGTATCATGATTTTGCCTAGTAGATGATAAAATAGCCATATTTAGAGACCAAAGACTTTAAGCAACCATCCAGAAAACCCTAGAAAGCAGCTACCACACTGTAAAATCTAATTAGTTGGGCTTACTTAAAAAAAGCATGCAAACCGATTGCCTTGAAAAAACTAAGTAAAGTGAAATAGGAATAGTATGTTGTACTGGCAAATGCTTAGTTAGTATAGTTTACTTACACGAGAGTTCTAGTAACTAAAAAAGAACTGTAGGGGGTACTTTATCCTTTCATTTAGGTTTACTCATGACTTAATATAGCTACTCACTGACTCCCAGAGTGCATTGCAGTATGAATAAATTATACAGTTGCTTTGTTTTACAGTTGTTGATTTTATTTGACAATTTTATTTGCTGTCTTGTGTCAGTAGTAGCACAACAAAAAGAACAAATAAAATGGTTATTGTTACAATTAATGAAAATAAATGAAATTGAATTGTTACCATTGTTGTGCTTCACGTGCTGAATGTTTACGTCTGTGTGTGACTTGAGCATTCTACCACACACTATTTAAGGATTATATAAGCCCAATTAAAATCATCTCAAGATTTTTATGAAAAATGAAATTTGAAATAGATCATTAATAAACACACAATAAATTCACTAAAAATTATAAAAGCAATCTATGTATTACTTTTTTCCCTTGAAATCAAATATCTCTGACTTCATGATGCATTGCAGCATTCACAAGAAAATAATAATTGTAACATAAACCAAGTTCTAAGTGCCCCACCAAAGGGAACACTAATCACTATAATGGTGCATGAAAAAAAAAACCACATTTTAGGAAAATCAACATCAATTTATGAAGTTAGCTTATGTGATGTTCTCTCAAATATTTCAGTTGTATTGAGAATTCAACATTCATGATGACTGGGAAACGAGTGAATGCAACTAGTGAAAGATAACTGCAGACATGGAGGAAATGAGTGAAAAGTCTATTAA